TTGGGCTATATAATGAGTTCAAAACCGTTTGAATTACAAAGCAAGATCCTGTCTCAAAAAAAAAAAAGGAAAAAAATTATATGACTTAAGTCTTCTTAAATTTGTTTAGACTTGTTTTGTGGTCTAATATATGATGTGTCTGGGGAGTGTCCGAAGTGTACTCAGAAAAAGTGTATGTTCAGCAGCTACTGGATGGGTTGTCATATAAATGGTTGTTAGGCCTGTTTGGTCTAGAGTACAGTTTAAACACAGTGTTTTCTTGTTGATTTTGTCTGATCTGTCTGTTGCTCTAAGTGGGAGTTATTTTTTTCTGCTATTTTTGTATTGCAGTAAGTTTCTCCCTTTAGATCTGTTCGTGTTTGTTTTGTATAATTTAGGTGCTCCAGTGCTGGATACATATTTAAAAGTGTTGCATCCTCTCAGTTGACCCTTCACTGTTCCATGACATCTTTCTCTTTTTATGGTTTTAGTTTAATATATATATATTTCATTCATTCCTCTTGGTTTCCATTTATATGGAATATCTTTTCCCATCTCCATTTGTAGCTATGTGTCCTTGCTACTGGGACCTAGACAGAGGCCTGAATTTGTACCTCAACTACCTGGATTCATTTGCCTACCCAACATCAGGAATAAAAGAAAAGCCCATACAAAAGGAAAAATGAGTTTGTTCACAATCTAGCCAAATGGGCGGAGTAGCTAGTCTGCCACCTTCAAACACTTAGAGGCGGGATAAAGCTAAGGAAAGGCTGGGATATAGCTCAATAGCACAGTGCCTGCTGGCTAGTCACAGCACGAGTTTGAATCCTGGTACCAAAAGAAAAAAAAAGTGAGGAAATAGGGAATGTAGATTTGACCAGGCTCTGGCCCACCAGCTGGGTCAGAACAGTGTCGACGGTCTGGTTCTGTTGAAACTTCCTTGATGTCAGAGCTGTGGGTTACAGTTGTCACTCTGAGCATGAGGAAGATGGACAAATAGTTTACCTTTGCAATCCTAATTTTTTTGTTTTTATTTTTGTTTTTTTGGTACCGGGGATCGAATTCGGGACCTTGCACTTGCAAAGCAAGCGGCGGAACCACTGAGCTAAATCCCTGACCCTACAATCCTAATTTTTAAATGTCTTCTTGAAGCCATTGTTAAATCTTGTTTTTAATCCCTAAAGCTACTTTTAACTGGAAAATTGAGGCCATTTATTCAAAGTAAGGACTTACTACTGCCATTTTGTTGGTTCCTAGTTTATTGACTAGGAGATGGTTGTTTCTACGTCATGTCTTCATTTTTGAAAGTGGACACAAAGCATCTTCTGGAGCCCTGGCTGGTGCATACAAGGTGGGTAATGTCTCTGTGTGTTGTCTGTTCCTCCAATAGGAGGTGACAGTAGAGGGAAATTTAATTCTCTTAAAATCCATTCTGAGGAAGCCGGGTGTGGTGGCACACACCTGTAATCCCAGCACTCGGGAGGCTGAGGCAGGTGGATCGCTGTGAGTTTGAGACCAGCCTGGACTACATAGTGAATTCCAGGTCAGTCTCAACTATACAGTGAGACCCTGTCTAAGAAAAAAAAAAAATCCATTCCGAGGGAAACTCCAAATAAGTTCTAAAAATGTTTTGCACCAGAATAGTATTAATAGACTGTAGGCTCTCAAAGATGAACATTGTGTTCTTGTTGGGTGACTATAGTTAAAAATTTTTTAATGAGTCATTGCTTTTAGAAGTTACCTTAACTAGGTACAAATAGATTATACATAAGTGATAGACATTAGGCCAAGTAGAATGGGTTTTAAGCAGAGTTTACACACCTCTTTACACTCCTTTTTAAGTACTTTTTCCATCCATTTTCAGTTGAGTTTAAGAAGTTTTGTTTTTAGAATCTTTCAGAGAGAATCTCCCACTGTGATCTTCTCCCTCTGAGTTGTCACATTATCCACACCTGATCTAGCATTTGCTAAGGAAATTAGTTCTAGAGACGAGGACATCATTAAAGCACAGAAGCTGGAGTTAAAGTTCCTGGGATTGAATCCCCACTCCACCAACTGGCTGTAACTTTGAGCAAAAAATTTAACACAGTTTTATTAGGTTTGTTTTTATTAAACACCTTGTGATTTTGTTTTGTGACATGTATTTCTAAAACCCTAGGAATTTTCCTACTGGTGAGAGAAACATCTTTTGTTCTTTACAATCCTTTTTCACCCCTACCAAAGTTTGTACTAATGATTAATTCTTGAAGAATGGGAGATGGTTGCAAGAAACCGTGATGAGAAGTTTGGAACTTTCTGCCTCACACCCCTGCTTTTTCCAGCCCCACTGTTGGCAGAGAAGAGGGGCTGGAGATTGACTTAAATCACCAATGGCCAAGGATTCATCAATTGTGAATACATAATAAAGCCTCCATAAAACTTGACATATGATGGTTTTCGGAGAGCTGCCAGGTTAATACATGGAGGTGCTGGGAGGGCGGAACCTAGAAGGCATGGAAGATCTGCACTGTTACTGAGTTCTGGGATCCTGGAGACTCGGAACTACTAGGGATTCATTCTAGGGTCTTCTTGTCCTGAGCAAAGAATTGGACAAAACAAGCAAAAAAGGTAGCAAGGTTTTACTCTTTATTAAAGGCAGGAAGAGAGCATGGGAAAGAAGTACTCTGCAGGGTCCAAAACAGCACAGCGGCCAAGTACTTCACGGCAGCTGTCTTTTGTAACTCCCACTCCTCAGGCTGACTGATAGGGTGGTCTAGGCCTTCCTAACTGGAACCTGCTTGAGTGCTCATGAGTCCCAGGTGCAGGACTTTCGGAACTGATTTTCTGCACCGCCTGGATCTCCCTCTGACTGGTCATGACCACCTGCTCATCCGGTTTGCCAGGCCTCAATCTCCTGCCTCAGCACCACTGCCAGATCCGAGTGCTCTGCTCTAGGCAGCTCTTCTATCAGCTGTTCCTGAGTTGTGCCCTTTATGATGGCTGCCAGCAGTATTTGCTTGAGTTCTGTTCGAATTACCCAACTTGGGCAGGGATTGTTAACTGTATGGACGGTGCTTATGGTTCCACAACTGAAAAATGACGTCACTAGCCAAAGAAGAAGGTTAGATTTTTTAAATTTGTAGTAAGAGTAGCTTCTGGATTTCCAGGAGGGGTTCCAAGTATATGGCCACATGGCCCCTCAATCCAGAGCTAATTATAGGTAAGCAGACCACAGGAATTGCTCAGTTGTTTAGTGGCCACCCATCATAGGCGGCTCTGGATTTCAAATCACCAGTTGGAAATCAGGCTCTTTAACCCAGTTCTTCAATATGCAGGGTTTAAAGGAAACTGGAAATTTAGAGGGGAAAAAGATAGCTATTTTGCATTTGAAATTCCTTACAATTCAGAAGCTTAGGGAATGGGGGAAACTCCTGGTAGGAGGGAGACGGCTGCATTCCTTCACTCTTGGTCCTAAGTCCTAGTTCAGTGTCCATTCTTATTTTAATTCTTATCAATATGGCTGATCACCCAACTCCTCAGCCAACTTCCCCTACCTAGCTGCCTTACGCATCAGCTAACTAAGTAAAATATTTTCTACAATAAGAACCCTTGATTTGTAGCCAGCTTGGACAGAAGCTTGGGTAACCGGGGGACCCATCACTTGCTGTTGGCTCTGAAGTGGGCAGCAGTCTTTAGACTGAGCCCTTGACCTCCATGGACCTCAGGGAGTTGGGGGTAGGAGTTAAGGAAACTGCAGGGAGCCCAGCTGCAATCCATGAAGAACTGGAGACTTGCTTGGTATGGAGAACCCATACCTTTGGTATATGGAGAGGAAAAGTTTTTCTTTATATATCTGAAGCTCTGTGTCCTGAGCACTTTTACAAAGATTAAGTCATTAAATTCCCCCAGCAGCCCTATGAAGTATGTAGCTCCGCCTGAATGGAAGGAAGCTCAAGTTAAAATGGGTTAAGTAGCTTTCCTGGTGTCTCGCAGTGGAGGAATCACAACTCCAGCCTGGAAGGCTGACTTGGGAATGTGTCTGGAACCACTGTGTTCTGCTCCATCTTAGTTCCTGACGTGGGAGTTCAGACCTGTATTTATGATCCCAAACATTGTTGGTCGGTGCTAAAAAAGTGTTTTGTGCATCTGAGGTTTATCGATACAGACTACACCTTCTAAAGCACGTATTGAGTGTTTACAGCTGAGTGCGTATCCAGGTTGGACCTCAGCTGCACGCCTTTCCACAGGTGCTCTGCCTAGGCTGAAAGACGGAGAGCAGCAGCTAAAACAGCCGGTCTGATTGCACAGACAAGTTTGCTGATGCACCGAGTGGTGTGCGACTGCACTCCTGTAACTCATTCGAGTATGTATTTAAGAATGCATCCGGGCTAGGCACTCCCTAACCTTGAGGCAGTCACTTGAGTACTTGAATACAGTAAAGTGGTAAATGGGGAGACAGAAATGTTCCATTTTAGAAGGTGAGAGGTTGACGAAGGCAGTAAATGAGAGGACATGAGATTATAAGAGAAACAGAAGATGAACGTGTTACTCCAAAAGTGCAGAAGGGAAAAACCAAAAAATGGTTAGAAAAAAAAAAAGGAGGTGTGCCCGTTGCCATTTAATTCTCAAAAATGACTGTTTTCCTTTTTAAAGCTGAGAGTGCAAGAGTGAATATTTTCATATACAAGAGCACAGGCCTTGGGAACCTCTTCAGTAAAATTTTGTTATAACCCAGCTCAGATAATGTGCTCTCCAAACAAATCTCAAATAATTCAGCTGTATTCTCTGCCAACGCTGTGGATGTCAGCGTCCACCGGCTCCACCAATCCCCCTGCTCAATAAGTAAAATGGATCAAGCATGTTTACAAATATAAAATTTTAATCTTTACATATGACACGATCATTTATATCAAGGCCCCTAATTTTAAACAATTTGTTTTTCAGCCAGGCATGATGGTGCACGCCTGTAATCCCAGCACTTGGGAGGCTGAGGCAGGAGGATCACTGTGAGTTCGAGACCAGCCCAGGCTACATAGTGAGTTCCAGGTCAGTCTCAACTACATAGTGAGACCCTGTCTCACCCTCTCCACCAAATTTTGTTTTTCAATCTGCAGACCAGAAGAACACTTAGATGATTTTAAAAGTATCTTCTTCTGTGCACTTTTCCTTTTAGCCTAATGCTGATGCCCTCACAAACAGAAGCTGCTCAGCTTTCTAAGAGTAATAACTTTAGAACTAGCCCCCTTACCTTGCAAACTCAAGGTATTCTCTCCTTCACTGGGCCATAGAACTTTTCTCTTCGCTAAACCAAGTATCCCACAGCCTTGGAAGCACAAAACCCAATCCAGCCATCTGCCAGTAAGAGCTACAATGCCAACGAGGCCATCATGGGGTGAACAAGCCCTTGGACTTTGCTCATCTCCTTCTGGCTTTTCTAGCTTCCTGGCCCACATTTTGGAGTGTGGGTCTATAAGGCACCAAGTGATTCTAAGAATTGATTTTGCTTCCAGAGTTAAGCCTTGCCTTTTATGCACTAGTTGTGTGTTGGCCATTGTTGGCTGCCAACCAGTGACCTGGCAAGTCCCAGAGTTTTGTCAGTGGAACAAAGCATCTTGAGAAGTCTTCATTGAGCCTTCAAGGCAAGAAATAGTTAATTCTCTGGGAAATAGATTTGCATCCCTGGGAAGAAAAGAGTTGTTCCTCCCTGGGAACATAGGTCATCATCTTGGCAACTTCGTCTAGGACCTCTTCTGTATACAGAAGCCCCTGGCTCAGGAAAGCATCTCGTACACACAGTCTCACATGACGGTACTCCAGTGGCAGGAAAGGGACAAAGAAGTCAATCAGGTTTTCCTTCACAAGACGGCTGTGGCCAAAGCCACTCTCTGAAATCAAGACCCAAAGTTACATGAACTCTGACCTGGGCTGAGCCCAGCTGGAGTTTTAAGGTGTCCCTGAATCTAAGGCTCAGGTAAGGTCTGATCTTAGATGCCAGCTCCAGTGGTGCTGTCTGCAGCATGTGCCAAGAGCCATACAGCTCTTTACGCCTCAATAAAGAGCACTGCACGTAACAGGGATGTGCGGTGAAGCAGGGAGAGTGGGGATATGACTGCCTGATCTGTGACTTTGTTTGATGTCAGAAAGCAGAAGGTAGAACAATTCTACCTTTGTCTGAAGGCTGAACCACTCCAATTTTCATAGTGAGACTAGAGTTTATGGGGTTCAGAGACTGCTGCCTGTATTTCCTGTGCAAATAACCCTTTCAAAGCATTTTCAGAGTTCAGGCTTTCTTTGGCACTTTGATTTTGCCACCAACAACTGACAATGCAACGTGATTGACATATCCTCTGGAGTCTCAAGCGCCCTGGCTACCTTGTAAACACAGAATCAGCACACACGCTAATCATTTCCAACCGTGACTCTTACCAGAGGCTTATTTTCTGCCTGATTGGGAATCAGCCACTTACCTGTGGACTCCCTAATTTCTGCCTGGAGACGGGGCTCCAAGTGTTCCACTGTAATTTCTTCCCGGGCCCATCCAGCCTTAAGCAAATTCAGGACCACCTCATTGATGACGTTGCCTCCAAGGTTACTGAAAGAGACAAGAGCTTGTTGGCAGGTGTCTTTATCTTTACACTTCCAAATGGCCACTGAACCCAATGCATTCACGATGCCCGAAAGAATGGAAGTAAGGGGCTGGGGTCTTCAACCTCCAGCAGGTCTCATCAGAACCCAACGTTCTACAGAAAAGACACTGCCTGCTTTGCCATCCGTTCTCCCTTCCAACACTTATGAGACTGTACCAGGGAGTACAGAGATGCTAAGATCTGGTTCCTTCCCTTGAGTTCTGTGTGATGAGGGCCATATGTGTATGAGATCCCAGGACAGTGTGGCGAGTACTAATGCAGGAGCAGTTACGGTCTAGGTAGACAGCTTCAGGGAGGATGTGGCTTCTGAGTGATCTTTAGATCCGAGAAGGGAAGAGTGCATGTCCCAGGAGCAAAGCACCATGGGCTGGGGGTCCAGGAGCACAGCATGAGAGGTTGCCAAGGCTTGGGGAGGAGGCCCGTGTGCCGTGTGCATGGATTTTAGCTCATGGGCCATGGAGAACCACTGAAAAGTTCTAGGTGTGGGTTTGTAACTAATCAGGTTTATGTCTTAAGAATTAATCATTCCAGGGCTACTGAGGTTGAAGAGGCATGGAATGGTTGCAGAATGTTAATCCCAGAGCTTTTTGCCAGCAGTCCATGTTTAGATGTGATGAAGAAAAGGATCAAGAGTTTAGGAAACACCACTGGTAGGATGCTGCAACTGATGAAAATGAGAAGTGAGAAAAAGGAGGTCAAAAAGAGGTGTTTGCTGTGGCTACTTGCTCCACTTGACAGAAGACTGGAAATGAGAGCTTGGTTTTAGGTTCCTTTAAGTATTTTCCACTGCCTATGACCTCTGTAGGGGCCATGATGTCATTAGACAGCAGGAGTTACATATCTGAAGCACAGAAAAGAGGACTGGGTTAAGGCACGAAGGAGAAAGGGAGTAAGGAGAAAAGAGGAACCCAGACAACCGCCCCAAGAAGTTGGGAGGGAACTGCCTGGCCCAGGACCCTTCTCTCCAGTGGCTGCAGCCCCCAGCCCTACAGGCCTGAGCAGCTCCTTAAACCAAGCCTTGCCTTCGCCGTACCCCTGCTCTTCTCACCGGTGGGGTGCGGTGGGGTGACAAATGCAGGACTAGGGAAGCCGGCATGAAGCTCAGAAGTGCTCCAATCTCCTTTCCTATCTCTCCTCACAAATCTCTCGATCCCTCTGACACCGGCCACTGTAGTAACCCATTTCTGAGCTCTTGCAGCATTTGAGTGGGCCCTGTGGGCTAGGCCTCGGGATTCAGGGAGGAGCTGGGTGGGTCCCCTACCTGCCTGCTGGAATGTACCAGGGCCATGAACCGCTCGCCCTCTCCCAAGGAGGACACCCCTCATCCCTTCCGCATGGCCCACTGCTCCGCCAGACTTCCCTGACACATCACTCTCGCGCCTCTGCCTCCCAGGAAGTCTGCCAGGCGGGTTATCTGGGCCACAACTGCATCAGCAGAGGCAAGACAAGCCCATGCCAAGGGTCTGCCCACCCTGCACTCGCAGGAGACAGAGGCAGGGGCTGTTTCCAATGGCATGGCTGGAGGCCACGGTGAAAACTAGTGAGCTTCATTCGCCCAGCCCCAGGGCGCAGACTCCAGTGCCTTCCTCTTTCTATCCAGAAAACCACCGTCTCTAGGCTGCTTGAGAACAGGAAGCTTCACCTAGTTATCCATGTAGCCCCAGTGCCTAGCACAGTGCTCAGCATGCCACAGTGCTCTGCACTATCTCCAGCTCCCTTCTGAGGGTCCCCTCCTATTTTGTCCCCTAGCTAATGTCATCTTTCTCCTACCATGTTACAGGCTTCACGTACCACCGAGGCGTAACTTGTACCTTGGAAGCCTTGTCTTCCCTTCCCTTTCCCTCAGCCCCTCAGGGCTTCCGGTCTGCACCAACATGCCACCTTTAGAGACAGACCTTGCCTTCCTCGAGCACCTCAGTTCCCTTCCATGTACACCCAGACCACCTGCTGACCGCCTCAAGGGGCCAGAAAACACCGCTACAGACCAGCCCTGTCCTCTGGTCCTGGGACAGGATAGCGTCTCCTCTCACCAGCCCTTGGCCCTGGACCCCAAAGGAACAGGACAGAAGGCCTCTCCAGAACCGGCCGTCACTGATAACAAGCTCCAACACCAACTGCTAAGTCTTTTCTTACTGAAGGAAAGAACAGATACAGATTTAATCATAAATCTCCTCAAGGCTTAGTTTCCTTATTTGTAAAGTGAGAATTAGACCAAATCAAGTGCAATTGGTCAGTAAAGAACAGCCCACATACACTGAGCATTTTCTACATGGTGAGGTACAAGGCCATGAGTAATCCATATTTTTATAGTTCTTTCCATTTCTCAGTTATTTCAGTTCTTGTCCTGAGCACAGTTCAAAGAAAACAGAAATTAGTTTTCCTTTTTACAGCTTCAGGAGCTCCGATCTCTGGTCTTACAACATGACCCCATTCCCACAGCTTTCTGTACTTGGTCGAAATGGAAGACAGTAGTCAATGTTAGTTTTCTAATAACCACCCTAATTCTAGTAGGTGCCCTAATTTTTCTGCCCAGATTGGGGACAGGCTCTATACACTAAACTTCCTGCTCAAACTGCCACCTCTGAAACCAAGAGGTAAAACAGCAACCTCCTGCTTCTACAAATGGTTCTAGCTATTCCTCAGGACACAGGCACAGAACCCTAAAGCCAACCCATAATGACCTTGACAGCCTGGTAGAACCAAAAGACTCCAACAGAACCTGAGGAATGGGGACCTAGAGTAGAAGCCACAGGTGCTGTCAATAGTTACAGGATAGATCAAAATTATCACCAGCTCCACCTGGATTATTCTGTGAAGACTCCAGCTTTTACAGCCAATCACCCTTTTCCCCCTCACTCCAGGATGCTTAAATCCCTGCATTACCAACCAGTGGGGAGGACATATGTGCATGCTTGGAGGTCCAGGAGGACCCTTACATGTAACTCACTCTTTGAAAACCCAGGTGCCATGCTATGGGTGCCCCTGCACTTGGACAGTGAGTTGTCAACCTAACCCAGATGCCATGAGAAGCGGCCACCAGCGCCTCATTTCAAAAGCTGCTTTAGGACACTTTTCAAGATTAAACTGCATGTCTTACAAAGGGTGGCCTGGTCATACTAGCAGTTTAAATCGGCTGTGCTTGTCCTTCAAATAAGAATCCTCATCACAAAGGGGGATAAAGCGAAGTTCATGTAGAACTCAAGCTCGGTCTCAAATCTCAGTGTCTTCCCCACCCATTACTAAGACACCTGAGGGTACTAGGAGCATCTCAGGGTTTACAGCAGCCGCTCTGGGGCACCCCGGCCTCGGTGGGTAGGGTTGGGAGTGCTAGTGGCTGTGGCTCTGTGTGTCCCAGATAGCCTGGCAGCCTAGCCTACGACTTCTTGTTGGCACAAGGGCACACCAGAGTTACTGGAACTCAAGGCCACATCTTTTTTGGTGGCCCTTTTAAGTCTCTGTCACAAGGGTGTGTCCTCCATTCTGCATCCCAGGCTCGGCCACTTCGTCAGGTGGTAAATGAAGTACAGTCCAGCAAGGTGCCTTTTCACCAGTCCTTGTTCCTACCTAGGACGACTGGCTGTGTGTGACCTTGGCCTCGGTGGGTCCCCCATGGTCAGGTCACGGTCAGGAAAAGCAGCACTGTCTAGGGATGGAGAGCACTGCCAGCCGGCCCACAACCGAAATACTACAGAGGCCAATGTCTGCTGGAGACATCTGGTCACAGTAAGCAATCATGGCCTGGGTGAGGGCTTTCCAAGTTGAGGTACAGACAGAAAGCCAGCCAGTTCCTCAAGGCGGGGAGGTAGTGCACACCACTGGACTGAGCTGGGAGGGGCAGGAACAGCAGCAGGAGAAGCGTGTGTGAGGGACCCCCACTGTGGTCACCTGCCTCCTGCATTCAGTGGGAAGGGCTGGATTCTGGAAGCCTCAGGTACGGGTGATCCCGCTCACCAACCCCTGCAACTCAGCCCCCGCCTAAATTACTGCCCCAGGAGGCCAACAGTATAGTACCCGGGGACGAGGACTAACTGAAGACACTCAAACCATGTCAGAAGATTGCTCTTCTCTCCTAAACCCCTTTGGGAGCTTCACCTCCACCCACCTCTACCTCACCCCGCAGTCTCTCTCAATCCTCCACAGCTCTACACACCAGGAAGGACGCGGGAACCCCAACCAGCAATAACACTTCCAACGTGGTCCATCCTGTCCTGAGGGTCTGCACCAGAACAAGGTCAGCCCTCCACGCTCACCAGGCCTGGACGAGATGACCCCGACTTCCCCATCCCCACCAGCTGTGCCCCAAAACCCCAGAAAACCCACCTGCAAATGAGTTCTGGCAGCACAAGTGAGCGTAGGGTGGGGTGGGGGAGGAAGCAACTGGTTTGGCTTCTACTGAGTCTACAAGAAGCTTCTGGGAAGCATTCAAGATGGACCCTCCACGAAAAGACAGTTTAAACCAGGTGTGGACGTGCATTCCCGTAATCCCAGCACACAGGAGGCTGAGACAGGAGGATTACAAGTGAAGGCCAGCCTGGGCTACACAGGGAATTCAAAGAAGGTCTGGACTACATAGTGAGACCCTGTCCGAAAAATATAAAAAGCCAGGCATGGTGGTGCACACCTGTAACCCCAGTACTTGGGAGGCTGAGACAGGAGGACTGCCATGAATTTGAGGCTGGCCTGGGCT